GCTAATTTTTTGTATTTTTAGTAGAGACAGGGTTTCACCATGTTGGCCAGGATGGTCTTGATCTCCTGACCTCGTGATCCACCTGCCTCGGCCTCCCAGAGTGCTGAGGTTACAGGCGTGAGCCACCGTGCCTAGCCACAAATGAATTTTTTTTATTAAAAAATTATTCAATGCCTACTGTGAGTCAGACATACTGAGTAAAACAGAGTATAAACAAATAAGATGCTAACAGTAGCTACAAAAGAAATACTCAGAGTGAATGGTAGAGAATAAAGGTAGGTATATGTGTGCTTACATGTACTTGTATGTGTATGCAGTTTCAATAACATTTGAGCTGATACATAAAGGATGAGAAGGAGCCAGCTTTCCAAAAACCTGGAGGAACAACATTTTATGCAAAAGACACATCTGGGCTAAGGCTTTAAGGCAAGACATGGCCAGTTGGAAGGTTAGAAGGCAATCAATGTGGCTGAGGACATACATTATTCTGTGAAGAGAGATCTGTACTTTGTAGAGGAAAATAAGTTAGAAAAAATACCAATGACATTCTTCACAGAAATAGAAAAAATAATCATAAAATGTATGTGGAACCACAAAAGACTCAGAACAGCCAAGCCATCCTGAGCAAAAAGAACAGAATTGGAAGGATCACATTACCTGACTTCAAATTATACTACAAAGCTATAGTAACTAAAACAGCACAGTACTGTCATAAAAACAGACTCATAGAACAATGGAACAGAAGAGAAAACCTAGAAAAAATCCATACATCTACATTGAAGTCATTTTTGACAAAGGTACAAAAAAAAAAATACATTGGGGAAAGGACAGTCGCTTTGATAAATTGTGCTGGGAAAATTGGATGTCCTTATACAGAAGAATGAAAGTAGATCCTTATTTCTCACCGTTTGCAAAAGTCAAATCAAAATGGATTAAAGACTCAAATCTAAGACCTAAAACTATGAAATTAATTTTAAAAACACTGAGGAAACTTTCCAGGACACTGGACTGAACAAAGATTTCTTTAGTAATACCCCACAAGCACAAGTAACCAAAGCAAAAATGGACAAATAAGATCACATCATGTTAAAAATCTTCTGCACTGCAAAGAAAACAAAGCCAAGACACAACTCACAGAATGGGAGAAAATTTCTGCAAAGTACCCATCTGACGAGAGATTAACAACCAGAATATTTAAGGAGCTCAAATAACTCTATAGAAAAAAATCTAATAATCTGATTTTAAAAATGGACAAAAGATCTGAATAGACATTTCTCAAAAGAAGACATACAAATGGCAAACAGGTATATGAAAAGGTGCTCAACATCACTGATCAGAGAAATGCAAATCAAAACTACAATGAGATATCATCTCACCCTAGTTAAAGTGGCTTTTATCCAAAAGACAGGCAATAACAAATGCTTACAGGGATGTGGAGAAAAAGGGAACCCATGTACATTATTGATGAGAACATCAATTAGTACAACCACTATACAGAATAGTATGGACATTCCTCAAAAAATAATAGAAATACCATTGATCTAGCAATCCCACTCCCAGGCATATAGTCAAAAGAAAGGAAATCAAGATATTGAAAAGTTGTCTGCACTCCCATGTCTACTGCAACACTATTCACAATGGCCAAGATTTGGAAGCAGCCTAAGTGTCCATCAACAGATGAATGGATAAAGAAAATGTGGTGCATGTTCACAATGGAGTACGACTCAGCCATACAAAAGCATGAGATCCTACCATTTGCAACAACGTGAATGGAGCTGGAGGTCATTATGTGAAGTTAAATAAGCCAGGCACAGAAAGACAAACTTCACCTGTTCTCATTTATTTGTAGGAGCTAAAAATCAAAACAATGTAACTCATGGGGATAGTGTATAGAAGGATGGTTACCAGAGGCTGGGAAGTGTAGTGACTGAGTCTAGGGGAAGTGGGAATAATTAATGGGTACAAAAAATAGAATGAATAAAAGAGTATTTGATAGCACAACAGGGTGACTACAGTCAATAATAATTTAATTGTGCATTTAAAAATCACTAAAACAATGTGATTGGATTGTTTGTAACACAAATTATAAATGCTTGAAGTGATGGATACCCCATTTACCCTGATGTGATTATTCCTTGTATGCCTGTATCAAAATCTCATGTCCCCCATAAATACATACACCTACTACATAACCACAAAATTAAAAATTGAAAAAGAAGTTAGAACAAAAAAATCTGAAATCCAGTTAGCAAAGAACAACAGGATACTACATTGCATACCTGAAAACCCCATGTCTCTGCATTCCAATATTGTTATTCCCACCTTCCTGGATGAGAAAGCACATTAGCAGGTCTATTACCTCTAAGTATACACAGGAGAATAAAAATCAATTACCTGATAGAAGTATTAGAGACTATTTTGTCAAAGCAAGTTTCTAAAGCCACCCTTTTAGTAACTCAGTGTTCTTTGTAATAGAAAGCTAGCCATATTTATCAGAACCTCAACTTCTAGTTTTCCTCCCATATATGGGCAGTACATTTGGTCATGCTGCAGCCAAAGTGACAGTTGTATATAACTGAAAACATAAGTGCCAACTGAGATCATGATACTTAAGTCACCTGTGATATGGACCTTTCTAAGACCCTCTCTAGTTCTTTTCTTTCCACACAAAATAAGCTCATCCTGTAATGCTAGATGCTGTCAAATATGTAAAAGACAACATAATTACTTGTGATCTTCTTGTTGAAGAAAGAAAAGCCATCCCTGAAATCCTGCAATAGACTGAGGGGAAGAATGAACACATTAATTCAGAGAACTTTTGTGATTTTTATCAGATAACATTTATGTAGTCTAGCAGACAGCAGGAGTGCACTTTCCGTCTTCCTCACATCTTCCAGCTCATGTCCTGGATCTGTGTCTGGGGTCTTCCCCACTCTCCACTCCACCCAGGAGGCAACCCTAAAGTATGGGAAGTGCTGAGGGATTAACAGCACTTTCCCACAGCAACACTCAAAACTGTGGCTCCAGGGAAGGTAGTACACAAATATCCCAGCTCCCTCGCCCCTCAGATGGATAAATCCATCACGTGTATTTAGCATCACTGCCCTGAGTTTCCTGCAGGATTAAGCTTTAGGCCCTCACTATGGCAGACGGCTTAATAATGCATCCTATATTGGCTGCCTTCCCTTCCCTGTACCATCACCTCCCTTTCCTACCGGTGATATCTATGATTCCTAAAACAGACCGTTGCACCTGAATCCTTATCTCAGGATCTGCTTCTGGGAAATGCAAATAAATATATGCAAAATTAAAACAGAATTTAAGCACCACCGCTTGATGCTATAAAAGGAAGGGGTTAATGACAAAAAATTTATATTCAGTGTTAAAGGGGACTTCATTCCCTCTCTCACATTTTTACACAGAAGGACGTCCACCTAGATTAATGCCCAGTTGTTTCTCCCTCATGGAGGTGAAATCTATTGCTGCATGTTTCTTCACTGAGTGCTGGGGAAAACTATCAAAGAGCTGCAGAAACAAGATTCATTCTTTCTTTCCTCTCTACGCCAGACCAGTAGGAGTGATAAGTCTGGAGAATTTGGGCTGCCCTATGGACCCAAACTTTCCGATACGTGGGTAGCTTCAAATCCAAACCAGGGATTGGAGGTGGGCACATGGAGTGTTAGAAACTCTTCGGTTGTGTGTATATCTAAAGTCACATTCTTCCATTGACTTTGTGAATGTTAAAGCTGGCATTTTACAATCTATTCATTCACATTCTGTCTTTTTCTTAGTTAATTATGAACTTGCCAATATCAAGCTTGTACAGTAGACATCTTTGTGATTGTTTTAATTTGTGGTGGAAAAATTAAGTGAGAGTACAGAGATTAATGATAATATAAACCAATAAAACTTTTAAGTCATATATAGGACACATAAGTTTAGAACCTTTGTTTTTCCTTTTCTGAAAGCTTTAAGTATACCTGAATACATCTTCCCTTGCTCAGGCCTGCTGAGAGGCTCTGCTATTTCCTACCTTCTCACCAGCTCCTCTATGAACCCACTGGCCTTTCTCGCTGTACAGCTGCTTCCAGTCACTCTCTGATATCTCAGCAAATTCAGATTAATTAACTTATTACTTCTGTTGCCCCACTGGTCTTCATGCAGGGATGTGATATTGAAGCACATGACAAGTTGGTGGCTTCAGCTGTGGTTTCTCCTGTCTATAGAAACTCTCCAGCAGATGGCAATTTTCCACCTTCCTGTAAAAAACCAGAATCCTCTCACCTGACAGAAATCTTTCTCTCCAGATGCTGCAAAGCCAGCACAGATCATCTTCTCTGTGATCCCTCCTGGATGGGCCGAATAGTAAGTGTGTTCACAGACCTCTCTTTCTAACACATGGACTTGAATCTGCTGTAGGCGACTTGCTAAGCCACCATCTATTGAAGAAACATTCAGAGAGAGCTCAATGATGAAGTAAGCAGCAAGTGATATTAGAAATGTATTTAAGTTCCGACTTAGCTCTGTACCAACATAGCTGAAGTCATTCAGTTTGGCCTGAGCTGATGTAGAATATTGAAGTTAAAAAATACAAGTGTTTCATGTGACATGTCTTCATGTCCCAATTTGGCATTTTTGTAAAGAGAGGCCACTGGCAGAAGAATAAAACCAGAAACACTTTTTTCCTAGCTTATTTTCAATTTAAACATTAGCGTATCAAATATTTCTGCATAAGAATTCAGGAAGAAAAATTCAGCATGATATGAATTGGTGTCATATATGACTTATACAATTACAAATATATATGGTTATATATTTATATATATAAATATATAATTGCTTACAAATAATATGCTTATATGATTTCCAAATATAAATAAAAATCATAATCCTGTTTTTCATCTACTGTCATTGAAGCCTAATCGCACCTCCAATTAAAGAAAACACAAATAATTTATTTTCATATTTGATCCTTAGGCAGGCCTATGTTAACATGTATTTTGCATGACTCATCCTATCATTTTAGATTTATGACCAATTTTTTTAAGTTTAATATTTTATAGCCCTATACCTTTTGGGGCAATATTAATAGCATAGATGTTACATTTATATAGTATCTTAATATTTATAAAGAGTTTTATTCCAACTTAATACAACAACATTTTTCATATGTGAGATCAGATTAATCACACTGATCTCACATATGAAAAATCACATATGAAAAAGCCAGACCTCTGAAAATTTGATCTCACAGCTCTTACGGGACAGAACTGGAATCAAGCCTAAGTTCAACTCTGAATCTTGCATTCTTCTTAATATACTAAAACTCCTCTTCTCGGGGACCATCTCCCTTAGTGTTACTGACCATATCCCAGGAATCAAGATTCATTTCCTCTCCTAGTTGGAAAGAATGAATTCACCTTTTGTAAAGCTAACTACCTCTCAGTTGCCTGGTAGTCATGGAATTGGCAAAGGTCAAAGGTATTAGAGAGCAGGCACATTTATTCAAGGGCTTTGAAACTGGTAAGCCAAGGAATATTTACTGAATGCCATGTAGGCTTCTAGCCTTGGGGAGAGAGTGCTCAATGACAGATCTGCCTCCAAGAGGTTCTCAGTCTAGTGGGTGAGATGTAGAAGATGACTGCATGAAATCATGCCAAATACATTAACGTGCAGTGAGAGGATAAAACCAGGTAGTGCGGAATGTGACCGGAAGCCTGTCCTGTGGCAGCAATGTGGGCCAAGAAAGGAAGTGATATTTTGGTTGAAAATGCAATAATGAGCAGGCAGATGTGACAAGATTGTAATAAGAGTGCTCCAAGTAGAAGGAGACAAAATGAGGAACTTCAGAAAGCAGAGCAAGCTTGGTGTTTAAGCGAAAGGAGAAAGGCCACGGTATCTGAAGGTTAACCACAAGAAAAAAAGTGGGAAATTTTGTGGAAGAGGTAAGTGGAGAGGCCCAATAACACAGAGCTTTCCAAGCTAGGCTAAGGAGTTCAGATTTGATTGTATGTGTAATGAGAAGCCATTAAGGAATGATTATAAGCTGAGCCACACCGATCTTAAATCCTCACTTTGATATTTATTAGTTATGGGATCTTAGCAAGTTACTTAAATCTTCGGGTTGCAACCTCCTTATTTGTAAAACGAGGATGGTAAAAGCTCCTCATGTGTTGGGTGTGAAGGTTTTTATGAAAGTGCAATTTGGCTTCAGGTAGCACAGTAAGCAGTGAATATCCACACTGTAAGCAGTCAAATATAAATTCCCTTCTCCTTCAAGCTCACAGATTCCAAATAAATGACATACAGAAAGGAAATATACAAAGAAAATGATCTTATGGTATAAGAAGCACAAAACAAATATCAACCCATTCCAATCTTTCACTGTGTTACTAAGCCTTTAAGAGTTCTATACCGTAGCCAGGGGTGAGCACATGACAGCCAGTGGATGAATTCTGTGCCACCCCCAAACATGGGCACAATCCATGAGATAAGAATGGTTTGTACATTTTTAGGTGGTTAAAAAAAATCCAAAGAACAGTATTTCATGACACATATACATTAAATGAAATATAAATTTTATAAATTAAGTTCTGTTGGAACCCATTCTGTTACATACTGCCAATGGCTGCTTTATGCTATAACGGTAGACTTGAATAGTTGTGATAGAGACCAGATGACCTGCAAAGCCTGAAAGGATTATTATCTGGCCCATTACAGTAAAGATTTGTTGACTGCTAATCTAGCCTATTTATAATCTAAGTTGCTCTGAAGGAAAAGTTTTATAATAGCTAATTCTCTATTTACTTGCTGATCTATTACAGCTAAATAAAACATGGTGTCTATCTTTTAGAAAGAAGAGGGGCTGAAGCGGATGCTGCTTGATATCATTTACACGACCTATTTTCAAAAATAACAACTGGCATTAATGTTTAAGAAACAAAAAATGCTTACCTCCACTGATGCTTCCCCATCCGGTCACAGCACAGATCTCTGAGGAAAACGGAGGCTCTGTGCTGTGTGGGAGACATACCGGCCTCACTGCCGAGCTGTACTCCAGAGGAGAGCTTAGTTGTATTAGGGCAATGTCAGAGTCATAACTAAGTGTGTTAAAGTCTTCATGCGCCATTATGTGTTTGGCCCTTCTCACCTGTATCAGTGGCAAGTAAGCAAATTACAAGGTAAGAAAGTCAAAGAATCCAGCTACTTCCTTATTGATGGTCTAAAATAATCCTAAATCTCTGCACTTACATACCTAAGCAATGAAGAAGACTTTGTATTAAATATAAAAGAGCCATCTTGGTTTATAATTTGCAGGAGGCTGTGAACCACCTTCTGGATAAAGGTGGTGCTGGAGAAACAAAGCTTTGAAAACCTGTGTCCTTGGGCCTAAATTTGCAATTCCGACCTACTTCGTATAATTCTCAAGTGAAAATGTAATTTCAAATTACATTTTTAAATGTAGGTATAAATGATAAGTATAAAAGGGCCCTAGGAGATTAATAACCAATTACATATTTTAGCTAAAGGTATTCCTTGACATGTGACAACATTTACAGTACAGGCAGAATGACCTGTAAAAACATTTTTTCACCTGCTCTGTTGATTCCTTCAGGTTTCTGTCATGGTCCCCAGCAATAATGGTCCAGGAGAGTGGATTATTCTTCCTGGAGACAGAAGAACAGTGAAAGTTTGACATGAAAACAAGTTTGTAACAGTTCGTTCTCACACTGCTATAAAAGACTACCTGAGACTATAGTCTTTTGAAGACTTTCTGAAGAAAAGAGGTTTATGAAGAAAAGAGGTTTAATTGACTTACAGTTCTGCATGTCTGGGGAGGCCTCAGGAAACTTAACAATCATGGCGGAAGGCAAAGGGGAGATAAGCTCATCTTATCACGGCAAAGCAGAAGAGAGAGAGCAAAGGAAGCCACATGCTTTTAAACCATCAGATCTTGTGAGAACTCACTATCAGGAGAACAGCATGAGGGAAACCGTCCTGCCATCATCTGGCCCTACTAACACGCACTGCTCAGTTCAGCGAGGCAACAGTCCCCTGTCCGATTGCCTCTGTGATCTCCCTTCCGGGGAAGCCATATCATGCCTTCTGATCTATGTGAAGAAGAGCTCTTGATCATGTATCCTGTCCCTTTCTTTTGACCATAAAGTGTCATTGGAAACCTTGCTAAATATTACCAAAGCCTTTTTTAGGTCGAGGAGGAAAAATGAAAATAATTAAAGCTTTATTTCACGATGATGTTAAGAATATGTTTAAAAAATTAACCTGTGACAAGGTAGCTTTTGGTCTATATTTCACTGTTCCATATTGCCAAATTATGATCTCACTGGATCGTATCTCAGATTTCCATCTTCTGTTAAATCAGAGTTATGAAACTAAAGTTCAAAGGAATTATCAGTTTGAAAATTGGCAAAATTCAACTATTGCGTTAGAAATCAGAATGCTGATTACTTTTAGGGGAATGATGACTGGAAGACGCACAAGGGCGACTGCTGGGTACTAGTTAATGAAGTATTTTGTTTCTTGATCTGGGTGTTGGTTACAAGGGTGTTCATTGTGTGAAAAGTTCTGCATACTTCTGATATACCTCAAAATGATGTTAAGAAGTTTGAATCAATATCCATTAACTTACCATATCAAAATCTCCAGCTTAAAAAGTATCTGAGGAAAGAGTCCCTCTACTGGAACCAATATACTGTCACTTCTACTTGGAGACTAATTCTTCCATTTTTTTTTTTTTAACACTGTTTCTTCAGGAAAAGTAAAGTTACTGAAATTATTTTCAATATACCTTATTCAAAGGTAGAGATTCTTAATGCATGTAGGCGTCTTCTCCCCAGTCATAACCATGCTCATTTCAATTCCTTGCATAATGGGTTTGACTTGCTCATGTGTTTCAATATGCCTTTATTAAGGGAGCTAACTCAAGTGAAGTACTTCGCAAGTACCTGGTAGATGGTAATGACTCCATAATGGTAGCCATTATCATTCTTATTATCTGCCATGCATGCTAATGAAAGGATTAAACTTTTTCAAAGTCACCCTCTAAATAAGTACTTAGTAGTGAAGAAACTTCTTAAATCTACTCCATATCTTTATATAGAATAGAGTGTATACAATACAATAAAGTAATAAAAATGATGGTAGAGTTGATAATGTATACCACAGTTTCTTTTGATGTTTTGCCTGTACAGTCATCAAATATCCTTCAGTTTAATGGAGAACACTGTAAAAAAAACACGACAAAGCCACATACACTTTATGATACCACAAAGCTTGAGATTTTTCCAATAGTGGGAAAATAGCTCAAGGTATCAATTGATGGATTTCTTCACCTTTTCTTCCCCATCTCCCATATAAAATTTCATTTCTTATAGTCTTAGGATCTTATCCCCAACCCAACAATGGAGCATGTGTCACTTACTGCTATGGAAGAAGAGAGAGCCACCTGACTTGCACAGAAAGTAAGTCACTGAAGTTTCAGTAGCTGATTTAAATTTTAGACAAAAGATTCACATATATAATTGCAAAGTGAGCTTGGTCTCCAAAAGTAAGTTAAAAGTCCCAGTGAGCACAAAATCCTGTGTGGAATTAACAAGATGAGAACACCAAATTTTCCTAAGTGTGGAACACCACCATCAGGAAATGCTCGGGCCTCGCACCAGACTTAAAGAATCAGAAGCTCTCCAGGTGATTCTGGAGATGTTGAAGTTTGAGAATTAATACTAGGGTCAACCAGTGCCAGGGAAGCTAAAAGGCAGGGCATGTGTAGGACATAGGGTTTTTGTTACACCAGCATATTAGTACACTCCTGGTGTAAAGATCCACAGACTTCAAGGATTAGATTTAAAAAGACATTTCACTGGTCAAATAATTTAGGCAACTGTGAACTATTAAAAAATATGGCACACAGACATTTACCATACCACTATAAATGTAAGATATAATGTTATGTGCAAAAAATGTGATATACACAAATACTATAAAATATATACATGTATGTTTAAATATTAGTAGAAAATCAGACAATTGAAACATTCTTAACATTGATGACATCTAGAGAAAAAGAGTATGTTAGATAAATGGAGAGGGTAGTTTAAGCTCTTACTTGATAATCTTCTCTAACTGCCTTTTTCCCCAAAAACATTACTATTATAATACATATTTTTAAAGAAATTAAGAAGTCACAAATGAAATTAAATACAAATTCTTTTGTGGCTAACAAGTGGCTCACAAACATTTACAGCTGTTGATTAATTTCAATTGATTCATCACATGGAATATCTATCTTGGGAAGAATAGGTTTGTTACATTCTCTATCTTGCTGCAAGGCGACATGGCTCATCACATAAATTTCAGAATAGACCATGTAATTTGAAAAGGGAATCTACCAAAACTTTTTCTGTGTCTCTGTACTCAATACTAATATTTTATTTTCTAATACATTAACAAATTAATCAGCTACTCTTGAAGCATCTTTTCCATGGTACATTCAATGCACTTTGATAGAATTCTTAAAAAATAAATAGGTTTTTGTAAGGGAGAGAAGGCCTAGACAAAAGCAGGTGGTACTGAATTAGAGTTGAAAATATTGTATGAACCCATGTTTAGCTTGATAATACATACAGATAGATATATTTATAACATGGGTTAGTATACATACCTATATTTTCTAGCTCTATCAGCTGAGAGGGCCTAGAACCAACAATGTGCTACTAGCAACTGGTATGCCCAGCATCAGATCATGATTTGTCATACCATTTTCCAATAAAATGAACCAGGGCCCCTTGGAGAAATGGCTGGTGCAGGAACTGAGAAGGAAATACACACGACAGACCTGGAGTATCTTGCAGTGTTACAAAATAAGAGGGAGTATCAAAGAGACAGAAGCCAAAGGCTGGTCTCTACCTCTGAAAGAGCTCACAACGGCCAAAGCTGGAATAATTTGAACGTGGGCTACCTTTACTGACTTGTTTCCCAAGAGTAAGTATGGAAAGGGGGAAAAATGTAACTTTACATTAGAGAAACCTGGTAAACACTACCTCAGCCAGATGGTCAAGGTTAACATCAGTGATAAGTCATGTTGACTGTATGTACCCTTGATATATGATAAGAATAGTATGCTACTTCTGTGGTCTTCCTCCCCCAAATCCATAACCCTAGTAACACCTTGACAAAAATGTCAAACTAAACTGAGGGACGTTCTACAAAAAAAAAAAAACAGACGAGATCTCCTCAAAATGACCAAGGAAAGTCTTAGAAGTTTACAGCCAAGAACAGCCTGAGGAGACTTGACAACTAAACATAATGAGCTGTCCTGAAGCAGCAACTACAATGACCTTGAGACAGGAACAAGCTCAGCATATCTGAGCAACAGAAAGGCCCATGAGGCTGGCCTACTAGGAGCAAGCAGGGAACTGATCAAGAAGGGGTCAGGGAAGCGGGACATAGTGGGTAACACCTGTAATCCCAGCACTTTGGGAGGCCAAAGTGGGAGGATTACTTGATCCCAAGAGTTCAAGACCAGTCTGTGCAACACAGCAAGACCCCATGTCTACAAAAAAGCCCAAAACAACAACAACAGCAATAAAAACAAACAAACAAACAAAAATCGGGCATGGTGGCATGTGTCTGTAGTCCCAGCTGCTCAGAAGGCTGAGGTGGGAGGATCCCTTGAACCCAAGAGGTAAGACTAGAGGGAGCTATGATCATGCTACTACACTCTAGTCTGTGAGAGAGAGAGACCTGTTCTCAAAAAAAATATGGGGTCAGGGAGGCAGGGAGTGGTTCTTGACCCTCTGCACAGTAGAGTCATTTGGGAAGCTTTTCAAAAATACCAATGCCCAGAACAAGGGATGGCTTTAACTAGTCTGGATCGAAAACAAATTACAGTTATACACAGTCACATGGCTTAATCTATACAAGGTATTATGGAGACAAAGTAAGACACAAGAATATAAACGGCAGTTCTGTTACCTAAAGATCAAAACCAAGAAAAACCAAATGACATACTGTTTTAGGGGTACATATATATTGAAATCCCCCAAAAGCGAAGCTATGAATACAGCATTTAAGAAATTTAGCATAGCATTTTTTTCTCTTTTGATTTTTTTAAAATTTTAAGTTCTGGGATATATGTGCAGAATCTGCAGGTTTGTTATATAGGCATACATGTGCCACGGTGGTTTGCTGCACTTATCAACCCATCTTCTAGGTTTTAAGCCCCACATGCATTAGGTATTTGTCCTAATGCTCTCCTTCCCCTTGTCTCCCACCCCCTGTATTTTTCCCGTCCCTGTGTCCATGTGTTCTCATTGTTCAACTCCCACTTTTGAGTGAGAACAAGCATTGTTTGGTTTTCTGTTCCTGCGTTAGTTTGCTAAGAATGATGGCTTCCAGCTTTATCCATGTCCCTGCAAAGGAGATGATCTCATTCTTTTTCTTGGCTGCATAGTATTCCATGGTATGTATGAGCCACATTTTCTTTAACCAGTGCATCATTGATGGGAATTTTGGTTGGTTCCAAGTCTTTGCTATTGTGAATAGTGCTGCAATAAACATATGTATGTGTCTTTATAGTAGAATGATTTATAATCCTTTGGGTATATATCCAGTAATGGGACTGCTAGGTCAAATGGTATTTCTGGTTCTAGATCCTTGAGGAATCGCCACACTGTCTTCCACAATGGTTGAACTAATTTACACTCCCACCAACAGTGTAAAAGCATTCCTATTTCTTCACATTCTCTCCAGCATCTGTTGTTTCCTGACTTTTTAATAATTGTTATTCTGATGAGTGTGAGATGGTGTCTCATTGCGGTTTTGATTTGCATTTCTCTAATGACCTGTGATATTGAGCTTTTTTTCATATATTTGTTGGCCACATAAATGTCTTTTAAGAATTGTCTGTTCATATCCTTTGCCCACTTTTTGATAGGGTTGTTAGTTTTTTTCCTTGTAAATTTAGCATAGTATTTCTTGAGAGGGATTCTAAGGGGTCTTGAAAGGTAAGTATAAAGATTCTTCCTAAACTGGATGCTGGCAATACAAATGTTCATTTAACATTAATATCTATTCTTTAAACTACAAATATATTATGTATATTATTTCATACAATGGAAGACTTCACAATTTAAGAACATTTAAAAATTAACCAAAATTTTAGTTCCCCAATAGTGCAATAATCAAGGTGGTAGGTTATTCTATTGTGCTGTCCACTGACATGATCCATATTTGCAAAGGAACAATCCTAAACCAATCCAGTGGAAGGTGGCTTGTGTGGTAAGGCATCTGGAATTACTAACAACCAACAGTGGAACCATGAGCACTTAGCTTAATGATTAAGCTAAATGGGAATGTGAGAGGAGCCTTCAAATATAGAAAGAACTATCACGTGAAAGAAGAACCCAACTTAGTTTTGAAACTATAGTACATTTAGACCAATGGATTTCTGCAATCGGGAAGCAGACTTCTGCTCTACATAATAAGAGATCTCTTTAAATGGGATGAGCAGTCAAGATTTGATCAACTTTTCCTTCACTGACATTGTTTAAATATAAGCTAGATGGCTATGCAGAAGAAACACTAAAAGAAGATTTTCGTTTTAGAATTAGTTTGGATGATCTTAGTAGTCAGCCTTGTGTCCGAGGCATTACTTATAAAGGCATGTGCTAAATACATTGGTAAAATACCAGTTTTACTCACGATTGCACACAGTGGGCTGCGGTCAGAATCCACATTGGGTTGATGATGGCACCACCACATTGGTAATCGCCTAGAAACCTCAGACCCACCTGCCATGGCCAACAGTGGGGGCAGGCTTCTTCCCCTCCTGCGATTCTTCTGGAAAGCCACTGGGGACTAAATGGAGGGATGCCACAGACATCTACAGTAAAGAAGATGAAATCAGTGACCCATAAGGTTGCAGTAATTTAGAACACATTTCTCCAATAGCTTGCCATAGTTAACAGTAGTGAGTCTCAAACATCAGATAGGCTTAATAATAATATTGACTCCCGAAACTCACCTCTGAAAAATCTGAATTTTTTTTTTTTTTTTTTTGAGACGGAGTCTTACTGTGTCACCCAGGCTGGAGTACAGTGGTCGGATCTCAGCTCACTGCAAGCTCCGCCTCCCGGGTTTACACCATTCTCCTGCCTCAGCCTCCCGAGTAGCTGAGACTACAGGCGCCCACCACCTCGTCCGGCTAGTTTTTTGTATGAAAAGTCTGATTTTAAGAAGCCTGCCCAGGTGACTATGCTAGGCAGCCAGAATTTTAGGGACTGGCCCCCAGAATTTTATTTATTCATTTAGCAAAATTTATTTAGTGCTTGCCATTTGCTAGGCACTGTTCTAGACATTGGTGATATATTATTGGTGGAATAGAACAGATGATACAAATACTGGCCCTCATGGAACTTACATTCTAGTAGGAAAGTTTCAAGTTTGTTAGGAGAGTACATAAGGTTCTTCATTATATCTTCTTGTTTTAGTTCTCATTCTCACAGTATGAATACATGTACTAATCCTCAAACATATCAAATTTGCTCAGGCATCTAAATGCTGTTCTCTTATCAGGAGTTGGTGAGACCCATAGCCCAAGTGCTAACCTCCAGGAAGCCTTCTCCAACCCTCCAGCAAGAGGCAGATATTTTCTTCTCTGATAGCTCCTTATGCAACTTTCTATTCCAGTCCGTCAACTTAAACATATTCAATACATGCGTGTGGAATAATGAAGGATCATAGTATTTACCCAGATGCCTTAGAGCATAAGAAAATTAAAAGATGCCAGTGTGAATTTAAAATAAAAAAAAACCTTTGTTTTCTCCCTTTGCCCCACACTGACTATAGGAGTCATTTTAGATATTAAGTTTGTAGAGGAATAGACAAGGACAAAACATTGCTTTATACCCTTTTCTTCCTAACCTAAAGCTTATTTGTTCTTCCCTCTACTTATAAGTCTAACGATAAATCCAAATAGGACTCTGGACGTTTTATGAACCTAAATACAAGACTCATTCTTCTTCACTGTGGAGTTATAGCAAATATAAGATAAGGACTTTCAAAAGAGACATCTAGTTAATGAAGAAAAAAGATTAAACAATAATAACGTGTCGTCAACTCACCATGCAGAATAGCTTTTATAGTAGATACAGGATTGTTTTGGGGAGGTAACGTTGGTTCAATTTTGTTTAAAGACTCTGTAGAAGAAAACAAAATTTTAATTGAAAGTAATTAGAGAAGTTGCACTAACTGACCCCACTTGCTTACCTTGGTAAATCATAAAACTACTCTACTGTAGATCTCACTAACACAACCAGTCATACACTAGATGCCAGATCCCAGAAATGTGATTTCTTGTATATCTCTTAATATCCCTGTTGCATCTGGCTCTTTTAAGTACTTCTTCCTTCCTTGGTTTCTTGATGTTAATCTCAAGGTTTTCCTTATATATTGATGGCTGTCTGTTTCCAATATGTCTTTTTTTCAGGATCTCATTTTTTAGCCTGAAAATATATTGCCAAGGTAATTTTCATTACTCTGTTTTTATTCATCTACATGTAGATGACTTCCAAATTTCTCTCTTCAATCTAAATCTCTTTCCTGAATCCTAACCTAAGACTTTTAGATATCCCCACTTGGATTTCCCACAAGCTAATATCTACATGTCTTAAATTGAACCAAGTGATTTTAAGAGTCAATATAGTCTTGTTCTTACATTTCTCTATCATCTAGTGGCTTCTACCATTCACCTCACCATTCAAGCTAGGATCCTGAAAATCGTATTTGTGACGGTTAATACTGAGTATCAACTTGATTGGATTGAGGGATACAAAGTATTAATCCTGGGTGTGTCTGTGTGGGTGTTGCCAAAAGAATTTAACATTTGAGTCAGTGGGCTGGGGAAGGCAGATCCACCTTTAATCTGGTGGGCACAATCTAATCAGCTTCCAGCTAATATAAAGCAGGCAGAAAAACATGTAAAGAGAGATGGGCCTAGCCTCCCAGCCTACATCTTTCTTCCATGCTGGATGCTTCCAGCCCTAGAACATTGGACTACAAGTTCTTCAGTTTTGGGACTCGGACTGGCTCTCCTTACTCCTCAGCTTGCAGATAGCCTACTGTGGGACCTTGTGATCATGTAACTTAATACTTACACACACACACACACACACACACACACACACACACACACACGATCATGTAACTTACATGTGATCATGTAAGTTAATATTTAATAAATACACACACACATATATATTAAATATTTACTTACATGATGTAATATTTAATAAACACACACACACACACACACACATATATATATGTGTGTGTGTGTGTGTCTAAGAGAACGCTGACTAATACAATACTGGACTTGGCTTCCTTCATATATTCCATCCCTGCAAGGGTATATATAATTAAAAAAAAATAGAATAAATTATTTACAATGATTTTCTTAGTACTTTTCTTGCATATAAGTTCATTCATAATCTTCCAGATTACTCTGGAGTCAGAGAGACCAAGTTCTGACTCCATCTCTTGCCAGCTGTGCATCTTTGGGAACGTTACTTAACTTCTCAAAGCCTCAGTTCCCTCACTGGTGAGAGGAGAGCAATGCACATAGCTCCTATGTATGTAAGGAGGAATAAATGAGGTAATGCATGTGAAATGCTCAGTGAATACCTGCTACAGAGCAAATAATCAAATGTTAGCTAGCTATCCTATCACTCTGGCACTTATCATTTAATTCCTCATGTTCAACATGATCTCACTCCTGCCTTTCCTATTGTTCCCTCCAAAACTCAAAACATGTTGAGTTATTTGTAGTTTTCTTATATATTGTCCATTCTCTTTTGTTAGGGTTTTTGCATATGATATTCTTTTTGTCTGAGTAGCGTGTACTTTATCTTCCAGAATGCCAGGATACCTATTAATTCTTCAAAACCCCCTAACTTGGTAAAACAGAGCCAGTCAATCTCATTTCTGAATTACCTTCTTTAATCCTAATTATCTTCTTTCTGTGTGTGGCATGTGGAATCTTTATGTTCCAGTGGATGCCATTTCTTGAGCATTACCTGAGGTGCTTCCTAAAGCACAGATTCCTGGGCCCCATCCCAGATCTACAGAATCTAGGTCTCTGGGGGTGGATCCAGAAATCTGCATTTTTGTTATGCTTACTGAGGGAATTGCTATCCTACATTTAGGTAAACACAGCTAAATAATCTTCCCTGTAACCATTTTCATAAGCAAAACTCCACAAGTGTTTATACTCACCTGAGGGCAAAACGGTAAATCTAGCCTTGAAGCCTTGCAAACGATTTTTACCATCACTTTTAAAGTAAATCACCATCATGTTACTAGCACTGAATATTGAAGTGATGGTCAACATTCCACAAAGTTTAGCTGAAAAATTTTAGGAAAGTTTGATTTACAGTTATAATTTAAAAAAAAAAAATCAGATTACCGAGTAAAATAATCACCCGATTTTCTCAACCACTTTAGTTTTCTCCAGCTTTTTTTTGCATTTGTATGCATACCCTTACATCTCATGTGAGAATTAAATGTCAGTTTCACAATAACAATGCACTGTAATTTCAATTACATAGAAAAAGCTCTAAAATAAGGACATTTGATTTCCAGTATGCACGGAAACTCAACTGGTTATTACTTTGTAGACAATAAGAAGAGGTGAGTTAAAAATAATAAGAAAAAAAAAAACACCCAAGTTGGTATATTCCTTTTTCCAAACAGGACATAAGCATACTTTATAAGAGAGGTAACACTTGAAGTCACTTTCATGGAAACCTCACACTATACAAGCACTGTTCTGCAGAATCATGGCATTGTGCTCTCACTAACATGCCCTTAATGTCTAAATAAATATTCCAAGCCAATCTATAATCCTGGCCTCTAACCCACACAAACATCTAGCTGAAGGACAGATACTAGGTCCTACAAAAGTGGTTAGAGGGCTGGACGTTAAATCTTCAAACTCAGTAAATTGTTAGGTCACAACTAAAAGTATATTTGAAGTTTTAAAAGTCTTAAAATTAATTGTTATACCTACATAGAAATTATAGGTTTTGGTTACTTTTCTTGGACACAAATATCAAAATATTAGCAACAGAAGGAATACAGAAAAAGGGAAGCTTTAAAATTTACCTTAAATAACTGCCAAAAATTTACTCACTGTTACCATTTTATCCTTTCTCTGGGGACTGCCTTTTCACTTTACATATAGTCTGAAACAATCTTTACATTTTGCACATTTCCATTGAAATGGAATGCAAATTAGTTGCTGGCTCATGGGTTTTAAAGCTAAAGTTGTATGGCATTCTGAGTTTCCAGAGCAAGAAATTCATATTCCCACTCTACCTATGGTATCCAAGGAAGTCAGTCCATGTTGCAACTACTCTGATTAGTCTAACACTTTCATATTTGAAGGGTGAAGGCTACCTACCGAACTTGTGCTTTTCTTCAGAATCACCATAAATCACAACAGCATCATAAATACAGTTTGGACTAAGTTTGACAGTAAAGTCCTCAAATGTCAACTGTACAAATGAAACATAACCAGGGAAATGGTCAGAGAAGAGAGAAGCTTCAAGGGTTTACCTCTGCGTATTTAAAGGCTCTTTGTCACATCCTCATATGCTTTCACACAGAAGTGTAAATAATTGCAGTCTCTTTGAAGGGCAATTTGGCAATGACTATCACGTTTAAATGTGCAAACCCTTTGACCCAGCAAGTCTACTTCTGGGAATTATACATATCCACATGTGTCCAAAGACACTGGCAGATATTCATGGCACCACGGCTGGTATGACCAAAGACTGGAAACTCAATAAACATCTGTTAATAGGGAACTAGTTTGATGTGTTCTGAAATATCATACAATATTTTATGCAGTTATTAAAAAGAGTTCTGTGGGCTCATCTGGAAAGATCTTTGAGATACTTTTCAGTGAACAAGGCATTGCCAAGTAACATAAGTACACACACACACACACACACACACACACACACAAGTAAATGCTCAAAATACCTCCCAAGGATACTAGTAAATCAGTGTTTTTCTCCAGGGGTAGAATGGGAATCTGATGAGGAGCCTTACTTTTCACTGTATATACTTTTAAACCACTGAAAGTTGTTAAAACCACACACAGAGATCTCTTTTCAGAGTTAAAAAATATATATATGGCAAAAAGAAGCTCCTAGTCATAATAGCAATTTAACAATCCAGATGAATTAAGTTCTGCCTAACTAAGGTAACTCTATCCTCTATGACGTAGAGTGATTCCTCAGTTGCCTACCTTTATAATGTGTTTCTCTGGAGCATGAATGAACTGATGACACCTTACGTTACTGGGATACAAATCAGGATACTTGGCAGAGTGATTTGTCCCTTCTACCAATATAGCCACACTTCCACAACCTGACCCTGTGGAAGCATTGGGGAAATTCAAAGTGAATGGCCAAAGGCATTTCCTCCTCCTCTTCCCCACCCACATCAAGGGAAAATGGCAGGGAATTAAATACCTGAAACACTCACCTGCTTCTGAGTTCTGTATGGCAGTAAAGGTAAGCTCAAAGCCATAGCCACCGTCTTCTGTATCAGAAACAAATGGAACCATGGTCTCACCGGTCTCTGTCAGCAATGGTGAGGGCAATATATTTCCACAGACCTTACCTTAAAAGAAGTGAAGGAAAGTGAAATAACGTGACTAAAGAGTGGTGGAAACGTATCCATGTTTGTTTTGTTTTCCATCATCTTCCATGAGATCTCTGGTCTAAACACACTAAACTATTTAATGGCCCTTTGATCATTCAACATTCCCTGCTTCAGTGACTTTGCTATTCCAGTTGCCTTCTCACCCCCCAGTCTCTCATGTCCAAATTCTACTCATTCTTCAGGGCCTAACTCAAAATTCAGCTCCCCGATAAACTCTACCAGACAACCACTCGAAATAAGAGCTACCTTTTTTGAATCAGCACAGCACATTCCCTGTTCTAATGGTATTTCCAACTTTGTGTTACATGTTTGATTACCTCAAACTACAACTTATTTGGGCAGAGAGTGCTTTTTCTCGAAAAATGTCCAGTACCTGGTATGGTATCTCACATACAGTTAATTTTTAACAAATGATTGGTTGAAAGAATAATTACTGTGTAAATAGCAGGCCTGGGCATGAAATAATTTAGACAATAAATATTATAACCCCTAGTACAGTACTTTGTCTATAGCTTCCTGTCAAATATATGTGAAGAGACATTTGTCCTAACCATTGACCTTATAGAGATCTAGAGATCCAGGTCTATACCAGCTCTAGAGAGCTTCTATCATGGTTAACACAGAGTATTTCAACCAAGTTAGATATATTGGTTATGTTTATGTAGCTTATAAGAGGTACTCAATAAAAGAAATTGAATGACATGAAATGATCATTTGTGTTATGAGAAGGAAATTATATCAAACAATGTAAAGTTCAAAGTGTATGTGTAAATAGATACACCTCTAAATGCTAATAGAGATTATCTCTAGGTGACAGGGTTATGAATGGTTTATATTTTTTTTCCTTTGGCTCATCTGTATTTATCAAATTTGGTAAACATATACCCACTTTTGTGATAAAAATAATAAAAAAAATTGCCTCAAAAGGAAGTTTTCTGACAACTGTGACATCAGTTGCATTCAACACTGTTACTGAACTTGAGAGAGAAATGTGGGATCTGGTTCCTAATTCAGAAAAACACTGAAGAGAATAGTCAGTGTGCTGACCACTGTCTCCACTCTTCCTATCCTCCCCTTAACCCTTCTAGAAGGGAACAGTGTGCAAGATGAGATCATTGCCCTTGGTACAATAAAAGAAATTTTATTTTTTATTTTTATTGTTTTAAGTAAAGTGAAAGAAAGTTTATTAGGAAAGTAAAGGATTAAATAATGGCTACTCCATAGGCAGAGCAGCCAGAAATTTTATTTTACATCCTTTAGTATCTCTTTGGTCTTTCAGATACTCTAAAATGATAAATAAAAACAAATGTAACATACTTACTAATAAGCACTCCATTGCTTGATTGTAAAGATACATAGTCATGATCACATCCAACTTGCTTTTCCATGTCTAAACTTGTAAATTTTATCAGGATTATTTTATCCTTTGGTACCATTATTTTCCAAACATATAAGCTGGGATAGGGGAAGGTGAAGAAAATATAACAAATGGCAGAATCAGATTTGATAAATAAAATCTAACACCCGTGCTTTATCTCACAACTCAACAACAATACAATTTTATAGAATACTAGAAGATAAAAGGCAATGGAACATTGTGAGAAAAATTTGTGCTCAAATTAATAACATTTATCTGACAAATAGATGAGTATTAATTGGAGAATGACCAGAAAACACCCCTTAAATTTCATTTAGTTATAAAATGCTAGAATTTTGATCTATAAATTGAAGAAACCTAAGATTCATCTGAGTTATTCACCTAATTAAAATTCATACTATTCATCCAGAGGTTGAATTATGATTCTCATGAATTATGAATTGACCATGCAGTGTTTGCTAACCTTAAACAGCCACATATTCCAAAGTCATCCTAAGTCACAGTCCCTGAGTTAAAATGTCATCTCTCTAACTCCCAGTAAGGTCAGCTGTGACTTTTCACTAACATTTTTAAAAGCATATCTAAACTTGAGAGAGTACGAAAATAATCCCTTACCTTTATTTTCATACATAAATTTATTATTCAAGAAAATAAATCCTAGAGGGCCATAAATCCTAGCTTCTTCCATGTCTCACCTTCACCTGAATGCAAAGCAATCTTACCTAGAATCTAACATGTTCGAATTAACTCTTTCCAAAATTCAGCAGTCTTTACCTTAGACCTGTTAACAGCCTCACTGCCTTTTACTAATAAGGACTTTAAGAATTAGTCAAGTCTTTTATGCCCAGGTTCCAAAAAGCAAACACTAATAATTTTTTTTTTTTTTTTTTTACCAGACATCTCCTTAACTGGAATCCCTCCCTTCCTCCCTCCCTCCCTTCCTTCCTCCCTTCCTCCCTTCCTTCCTTCCTCCCTTCCTTCGAGTCTCACTCTATTACTCAGGCTGGAATGCAGTGGTGCAATATCAGCTCACTGCAACCTACACCCCCCAGGTTCAAGCGATTCTTCTGCCTCAGCCTCCCAAGTAGCTGAGACTACAAGCATGCACCACCATGCCCAGCTAATTTATGTATTTTTAGTAGAGACACGGTTTCACCATGTTGGCCAGGCTGGTCCTGATCTCATGATCTGCCCACCTCGGCTTCCCAAAGTGTTGGGATTACAGGCCTGAGCCACCGTGCCCAGCCGGAAACTCTTTACTTTAGTGTTTTTCTATCCAAGTCCATCATCCTGAATATAGATGTAAAAATAAGCTGTCTAAAATATTGTAAAGCTCACTTGCCAAGCACTTCAATGGAAAAAAGCACTCCACATCCATCATCCTTTTTGAGATTCATTACATCTCTCTGAGGTAGGCAGGAGAGAAATTATCCCTCTGTTTCCAAATGGGAAACCTGGCATTGATAATAAAAGATTCATCACGTCTCTTGTATAAGTGGAACTGTTTAGGCTTTATGACTTCAAAGGCCGGTACTTTCTCAAATTGTTCCATCATCAAATTATTTTCGGCCTCAAAATCTCTAGCTCAAAGATGAAAAATAGGTTTCAAATCTATGCCAACTTTGATTTATTATTAGTGATTGCTGTTTTAAAAGGATTTTGAGGTCTGGTCAAGCTAAGTGAGAGAGGGGTCCCCAAACAAACCATTGATTTATTAATTCAAATAATCTATAGAGCATTAATTATGTGACAGGTACTGATCTAGGCTCTGAGAAATGCAATATCTCCCATGGGTATGAAAGGAAGGAGGGCAACCTGGGTGGTATCTGTCATTTCTGAGAATCTAGCTACCACCTACCAGAATACAGAGAGGCTTGGAGGGACTGTGTAACTCTCTCCTTCTTTATATTATCTCTGTCTGCCTTATGATTTCCTAGTTAGCTCCAGTTGGAATTTACAAAACCCTTTCAGTATCTAAGGCTACTCAGCATGCTGAAGAAGTCACTAACTGTGCAAATTGGCGCTATACCTCATTTCTAAAACACAATTTTTCCACATTTTCACATTCTAAAATTAGAATGCATCTTACAAAGGAGTCTCACGATTTCTGTAGACCTGAATTGAAAGAGTTCTTCCGGGCAGTATCTGTATACACTTCTGTCAGTCACATTGCACACTATCAACTTCACAGTGCCAAATTTTTCTGCTTGACATGCTTTGGCCTATACTTGGGGTGTGAATTTAGATGATAGATCTGCACGAGTATTAACCTGTGGTTCAAATTCTCAAAGAATTTTTTACCTCTCCCTACATCTAGTGCCAAGGTTGAGTCATGTAACTTTCCGTGTGGGTGGGTTTACACCTTGTTTAGCCTTACACTGAAGATAGTCTTGGGTGACTCAGCCTTATATGAACCTATCTTGGGAATTTTGTTTTCTCCTATTGAAGTTGTATTTTACAATGAATTTTTTGTCTTGATTTATTGAAATATAGTATAAATAGATGCTAATACTAATTGGATTTTACTGCTATTGAAAGTCTTATTAATCTCTGGTTGACTCCTTACTTTAGTCCCTATAAACTATTTAATATCTTAGCTATTTTATCTCTACTTCATCTTCTAAAGTTGAAGCAATTAAAATCTCGTGTGATAACTAAGACATCCAGTGTAAATTCCTTCAACTTTCCCATAGATTACCTTCTTTGTTGCTTTCCCAGAAAAGAAATTATTCTGCCCTCTTCTCAATGCCAAACCTTCTTTATTTGTTGTGTTCTCTGAAAGCTTACTTCACATTTCTATGTGTTTCCTATGACTCTTAACTCTCAC